ATTTTAATTTTTATGTAAAAATTGAATATATAAATATAATAAAAGATAGAAAAACAAAAATAAATAACAAATAACAAAAGGAGAAAAAATCAGTCAAATACAGTACAACATTTTATTTTTCTAAAGAAATTGTTGAATATATACGTACGTGAATCACGGTGTAGATTTGAAAGCTCAATAATACAATGTTGAAGTCAATCATATTAAATGCCAGTCGGAAAAAAAAAAAAAACTTTGCTAGAATTCTCATTTTAGTAGATGCTCCAGCATTTCAATTTTCTTATTTTATATGGATAATGTCAGTATAGGTAATACTTATCTAATACGGAAATTGGACCCATGCACTGCCTTGTAAAGATTTAGAAGCCAAAAATTTTTATATCAATCTGACAATAATAATAGCAGATGGTGTTATTCATTGATAATTAGATGTCAGATGGTGTTATTCATTAACAAAATGGGTATGTTTCCTGTAGAAAGGCAGAATCAAGTGGCATAGACATAGTCATAGATAGGAGCAAAGGAAAAGTGGCAAGCGCTTTTCCTTAGAAGCTAGATATTTATGTAGTCCAAGGCAATAATCATATTGCATTACATAATCAACATATATATAGGGAAGCAGAGCCTCTGCTTTTATTTGTAGTAATTGCTAAACTTGGACACATTTCATTCAGACATTGACAACTTGTTTTAGAACCTCATCACTGGCTTTGATAAATACAAAAGGCCATCCGTCGTCGCTTAGAACTAGGCGTATCAGGGAGTCAAAACCAGATGAATATCTTCCGATCTCGCTGCATAAATATTTTTTGCATGACTCACACACTGAAGGACAGAGAGCAAGTTTATAGGAGATACCGCCAGGAGCCGCAGTAATCCTAAACAGGCTGGACAAAGCCTGTGGGTCACCTTCCGACCCACCAGTTGTCACGAGCCATTCTCCCACTGATTCGTCATAGCAGTCCACCTTCCACACTGTTGATTGGGAACAAGCTGTAGGTTGGGGAGGGATGAACTTGATGTTAAGGTCAATTGATTCGTGGATAACACCACCCTCGGTGTCCACTGAAGAAAATGTCACTGGAATGCCACGAAGCAGGTCGGACCTTTCTTGGGCAACATCATATGGGCACGTTTTGTTTCTGCCTTCCCCTAGATATAACCCGCCACCACCAGCACCCCATATTGCTGACACGACGTAATATTGAACGCCAGGGCGGAGCTCATCGCCATTGACGTCATACACTGGAACACTTTCATCAGTTGCAGAGGATTTTGAAGAGAAAACAAAAAGGATCAAAAGCATAGCTAACGTGGTCTTCATCATTAACACTGTTGAGATACGGCTAGCTTTGGTAGATTGAATGTGGGTTGCTTCCAGTTCAGCTCAATTTATAAAGGTTGGGACGTCATTCCCTGCTCAATTATGCATGGCTTTTTCTCTACTAAAATAATGCCATGCATGGTGATTGAAACGTGGCCAAAATGGCTTCACACATTTCAATAACAACTCTTTGTAACTCCTAGCTTAATGTTTAAAGGCAAAAATATTTATATAATGGAGTGTCGGCCAATTTCTCATTTAGGAAGTGTTAAACAATATATATTTCTATATAAAGGTTGATTAATTGTTGGAACCGGCATAAATTTCTCCATCCATTCTCATGCAATATTCTGGTTACATTATATAAATATATATGTTATATGTATTTGTGATACATCGATCTGGTCATCTATATTTGCAAAATAAATCATAACATAGAAATATATCATTCGTCCAAAATATTTTTATTGATAGTTCATAAGCAAAAGGAAGAAGAAAAAAAATGTTAAAAATCCTAATAATTAAGGTTATGTTTGGTTGATATTTTAATTTTAATTTTTATGTAAAAATTGACTATATAAATATAATTAAAAATAGAAAAACAAAAATAAATAACAAATAACAAAAGTAAAAAACAAAATCAAATACAGTATAAAATTTTATTTTTCTAAACAAATTATTTAATATATGCCTACGTGAATCACGTTGTAGATTTGAAAACACAATAATGCAATAATGCGATGTTGAAGTCAATCATGTTAAAAAAAAATATCAATCAAATACAGTATAAAATTTTATTTTTTTAAACAAATTATTGAATATATACCTACGAAAATCACGTTGTAGATTTGAAAACACAATAATGCAATCATGCAATGTTGAAGTCAATCATGTTAAGTATACATAATACTTATCTAAATATGGAAATTGGACCCATGCGCTTTGGCCTTATATATACAAGCCAAAAATATTTATTTCAAACTGACAATAATAACTTTTTATATATAGACAAGAATAAACTAGAGATTCGAATATTAAACATCAATCTTCTTAAAAAATAAAAAACAATTGCTAAGTTAAGTTTAACAATAAATAAATTGTATAATTTTTTAAAAAAATTAAAATTTTTTTAATTATTTTATTATATCCAATCAAATATGTCATCATCTACGCCACTTAAAGACCTATCAAACAAAAATCAAGATCCAGACAAGACAGGATTTGCGTAGCAGGATTGGGCTGGGTGTAAATAAAAAAATAATCCTCATAAACTTAAAAAGGGAAGTGGGGCAAGTACTTAAAGTTTCTTTGTTAAAAAGGAGGGTCAGTTTCACATTTCAGCTGCCATGCGAAGTTTCTTGATTTGTTCTTATATATGTATCATGATAAGATTGAGCCTTGAGTTGTTGGATTGTTGCACATCAATTTGGATATTTGTATGTATCAACTATCAACTCCTTCAACTCTTTCAAAAAAAGTGCTCTTTCAAGTCCAAAGTTAATTCTAATTTCTTAGTGTTCAGTATTAGATTTTGTTTACTATATGAATTTCCAGCTTCCTATATCGATACTTAGATGCCATATATATGGCATTATTCATTAATAAAATGGTTATTTTCCTGTAGAAAGACATAATTAAGGGGCAGAGTTATTGTAATAGATAGCAACAAAGGTACTGCGCGATGGAGATTAAGAAGAAATGTGATGCACATAGAGGCTTGCAAACTATTGGTGAGCGGCTGGGGTATCCACCATGTGCCTCGGGAAGCCAACGAAATAGCAGATCAGTTGGCAAAAAATGGTGACCAAAGGAGGCAGCCGAATCAAATGAGCCTGGTATGACATGGTTGAAGGTATTGTAAGTTCTGATGATTATTAATTCTGCGTTCCTGTCGGTGTGGTAGCCTGGGAAAGATTTTGGCTGATGGGTGCATGTGTAGTGAGGTCGTTATACAAAGGAATGCGAGGGTCTGTTTGCGATGGGTTTTTGTTTCTCCCAATTGATGTGTTTAATGTACAGGGAACAGTTTTAACTGGCTTGTTATTTTTGTTTTGAAAAAGAGAGAGACCGAGGTGGCATTCTCTGTATCAAGAATCTGCACCTATAGCCACAAAATGACAGTGCCTATTCATCCGTTTCTGTATCAACATTAACAAACATATTCCCCAATAAACCATATCAACTCGTTTTGAAGACAGTGGCACTTTACTTACACATCATTTTGAGATCTTTAACTTAAGACTGTCAATCTTCATTATAGTCTTCCTCAATCTCCATGGAACTTGGTGTGGATGAAGAACCAATGTAACAGCGTTGTTGGAGTCGCTTTCAAAGATAATATTTTGTGAACTAGCCCAATCGGATGCATGCCCAGATTGTTTTTTTCTTCTTGGCCTTTTGCGCCTGTTGGGCCTTAAGCCCAACTAAACTCAAATCAAGGTCTGGACATGTTTGCCTCTGTTTGATGCGAACCCGTGATTCGGGTTGGGTTGGGTATGTGGGTTTGTACAATTTCTTTGTAGTTTTCCAACCCAATCCAATAAGGAAACCAAAAGGCAACCAGATACCCAAAAATTGACTTCCAAATATTTTCAGTTAAAAACTGTGTTTGTTTTTTTCGCTTTCAATTCATATGGAGAATCTTATACACTTCGTAATTTTTAAATTTATTTTAATGCAAATGAGGTGTACAGAATTTTACGTTTGTGAATTTTGTAAAAAAATGTTCTCCATTGAAACATTCTATTTATTTATTTTAAAATATTTGATATATATTTTTTTAACAAATTTGATACATTGTCATCACACTTGGCTATCTTGCTTATCTCATCTTTAGAGATAATCGACATGAATCAGGTTTAAGTTAAGCCGCATTGATATCAATTATCACAAAATTATTACTATTTTTTAAAATCTTAACTTAATAAAGTATGTAACGATTACGTTTATTAATTTTTTAAAATTTGCTTATGTTTAATATTGATACAGTTTGTTTATTTTTTTTAGAATCACTTGACATAATAAGGGCATCATTTTATTTTACTTAAAGTTGATTTTTTATTGTTTTAAGAATGTAATTTTATTGAAATATTTTGTGTTTGTACAAAGCTTAAACTAATTCTTTTCTGCTTCACTTCTTACTGAATTTTAGAACTAACTTGAGAGAACAAATTATTTCACTATAAATATGATGGATTTTGCTTATAAGTTAAGGGCTTAAGGGGTTTCACCAAATTCTTAATATTTTCTAAAATATAAAAGAGAGTCTTCCATTCAGGCATGGAATGATGGTTTTGCTTCAATAATTCAAGGACCCCACCGCCACACCTAGAACAGAAATTTACAAAAACAAAACAATGATTAGAATCCAACGGTCCACAGTCCAAATCTTAACCAAGTCCTACCAATTCCAATTCCCAAACCCAAAATCCCTGATCTAATCTCCCGTCTTTATTGCAAGTTTGATCGAATTAAGCAGCCCCTAAGTTTACCCCCCCCAAAAAAAAAAACTCTTTGTGTGAAGTGTTACTATACGTAAATAAAACTGCCCCAACAAAAATTCGTCTCCCTTTCTTCGCTGCAGCTGTCGACCAAAATCTCTCAACTTGTCCAAACCTCTTCGAAAAACCCCTCGACCGAAACAAACACCCAAAACCCATAAGTCTATTTGTTTTGTCTTCGAAACTTAATCTAATAATCGGAATCGAAATCAGAGAATCAAATTTTTTTGTTAAAGAATCAGAATCCGATTAAATAGAAATGGCGGCGACTGGGAGTGCCTCGTGGCAGCCACAAGAAGAGGGGTTGAAGGAGATCTGTGGACTACTGGAGCAGCAGATTTCGCCTTCTTCTTCCGCTGATAAGTCTCAGATTTGGCAACAGCTTCAGCACTACTCTCAGTTCCCTGATTTCAATAACTACCTCGCTTTTATCCTTGCACGGGCCGAGGTTTGCTCCTTCTTGTTTCATTTGAAACTAGTTTAGTAGAATTTTCTTTTTTGGTTGGATTTTTAGTGTTTATTGAAGAACTGGATTATGGTATTGATTGGATTATATGTTTGTAAAGGAAGTGTTGTTTTTATTTCTTTTCTGGAATTTCTTTTATTGGATTGTGTATCTCTAGAGTATGTTTGAATTTGGCGTTTGCAGGGTTAATAATTTTTGGTCTAGAATTTGCAAAGATTGGGTGTTGCTTTAATGAACTGCATTCTGGGTATTGATTGGGTTACGTGTTTGTGGAGGAATTATTGATTTAAACTGAATTTCCCTTGGTTGGAGAGGCATTGTATTCTGGATTGATTGGATAATGTTTTTGGATTAAACAAGGATTTTGGTGGGCAACCTTGGCCAATGGTTTTGATTCTACATGAAGAATTAGCAATTCGATACCTCAGCCATCCCTCCTAATTGAGAAATGATAATTACTATGTTACAACACACACACACACATGAGCACGCGCGCGCGCACACACACACACACAAAAGCTTGAAAATGGGTTAGCTGGGGATGTGGTTCTTAACCTGGCTGTTAGTTGGTGTGAGGACTTAATGTTTTTTTATCCAAACATATCCAGTATGATGTCGTTTGCTCTTATGCTGGTGTCTATTTCAAGAAATTGATGTCCTTTCCTTTGGATATATTTTGAACACGTGGTTGCTGTCATGTGCTAATGAAACGTTGTTTCATTTTTGGAAATTTATGCAGGGTAAATCGATAGAGGTTCGACAAGCTGCTGGTCTGCTGCTGAAAAATAATCTCAGAACTGCATATAAGTTAATGGCTCCTGCACACCAACAATATATAAAGTCAGAATTGTTACCCTGTTTAGGAGCAGCAGATAAGCACATTAGGTCAACAGTTGGGACTATTGTGACTGTGGTTGTTCAACTAGGGGGAATTTTGGGGTGGCCTGAGCTGTTGCAAGCTCTTGTAAATTGCTTGGATGGCAATGACCTAAATCACATGGAAGGTGCTATGGATGCATTGTCAAAGGTATGCACTG